TCCTAAATTAAAGTGTACAAAATTATCTTAATGAACCACACAATTACATGAGTGGTCTCTTACTGTGTGCAATAATAGTGCTTCACATTATTTCAAAATAAATACACCCATCTCTATAAAGGTCCTTTGCAATCAAAGATCCCACTGTGAAGAGCAAGGATCTTTCAAAATGACTCAGGGATAAAAAGCAGAAGAAAGGTACTGTATACATAAAATTCAAAAACAGTGCATATCCCCTTGAGCACTGTAAAGTCAATGTTTAAGAACTGGAGTGTGTATCATACCACCCAGACACTGGCTAGATCGGGTTATCCCCCTGATTGAGCAGTCAGGCAAGGAGAAAACTGGTTAGAGAATTTAATAAGATGGAAGAAAATGTGCATGAGTCAACAGTAACCCAGTCACTCCACAAAACTGGCCGGTATGTCAGAGTGTGAAACACAGCTCAAATCCTGCATGGGGTTAGCAACAAAGCATTCACAGTATGTGATAGTACACACACTAAATGTTTTGTAGTCAGATAAGGAAAAATATATACTCTGTGGTCTAAATGCAAAGTGTAACGTCTGATACAAAGCCAACACATCACATTACTCATTCAGCTATACTCCTAACATCAATGCAATGGTGGTGGCATGAGCGAGCTTGAGCAGATCTGCCAAGAAGAATGGGCACCAAGCTGGTGTGCAAAGCTGGTAGAGACTGAGCCAGAAACGCACGCAGATGCAATTGCTGCCAAAGGTGCTTCCATGCAATATTAAGCTGATATATAATAATACATTCTTGACATTATTTTTTCTTTTTAATTCTTGCTGATACTGTCTAACTTATCTTACCTTCTGAAACCTTGTTCAAGCATTCATGTGGATACATTTTTTGCTAATTGCACACATGGGACTCAATAGGAAAGCTCTGAAACCTTTTGCAAGGCACTGTATCTGAAGCTCTGGACTGCTGAGACCCAGGGTGGCAAGGGGGAGACAGTGGGGTGTTGGGGTGCTACTGTTAACTCAGACAAAACCTTGTTATAGCAGGGCTCCATTGTAACTATTTTATGGTGTTTTTAGAGTACTTTAGGGCAGTACCACTGAGAGAGAAAAGGCAGGGGTGAAGGGTAGTTGTAGTGTTTTGTGAAAACAAAAGCAAGATAAGAACGTGCATACAAATAAATTGGCAAACATCAATTAAACATTCCCCTTTGCTTCCCCAGACTTTGAAAATTCACAACATCCTTCCAGTGACCTCTCACTCAAGAAAGTTGGGTCATTAACTACAGTACTAACAATACCAGGATACAGAGGGAGAACAGTTACTTATTAACTCAATTGCAATTAAAGGAAATGCAATTTCTGCAGTATTTTATCTTTTCCTCCTCCCTTCTCCACACGTTGGTTCTGGCTGTGACAAGCACTGTCGTTTTCATGCTCTCTTTTTAGTGCACAAATAAAAAGAGGGAGTAAGATCACAGGCTCTTTGAAACCCAGTCACAAAGTATTGTTTCTTTAGACTGCCAGTGGAAGTTCACTCATTCAGCCTCATTCAAAATATTCAAGTACAGTGCACCCAATATATACAGTACACCCACTGGACTTCTCAGGTGAAGGTCTCTGGGACAGCTACAGCTCCTTTCTTTCTCCACACTTTAACATCCCCATCACTTTGGTAAATGTTTCTTCTGGTCTGATGTGTCCTGAAAACTCTCCTGGCTCATCTTTGAATTTCTGAACCAATTCTGAGGCTTGGTAGGCAGAATATCATGGAGAAATTGCTTACTGCTCAAAAATGGGCTCACTTGCCTTTACTGATGATGTAACTGAAGATGGCAGCAGCAGAATGAAATCAGACGTTTACAGAAGTATTTTGTTTGCTTGTCTAGAAGAAATGTCTTCAATACTTTTGGAGCTGCATTTATCATACAACACGGCAATGACCCAAATCATACAGCCACTAGGTATCCAAACTAAGCTTGATACCAAGTCCATATACTGCACACTGCAGTCCAGCAGAGGACATGAACAGGTTGCTGTTAATATGCAGGGCTGCTTCATGGTTTTCAGTCTTTCAGCTTTTAATACAAAAAGAACTAAGCTTGAATTTCCCCTTGACTGACAATTAGAAACATGACTCGGGTTGATAGATCCAGCTGACTACAATGAGCAAGAGCCAACACTTTCTGTGTGTCAAACTTTCACTGAAAAGCTGTTAGGTGGAGAAAAAACACACTGAGAAAAAGATTGCTAATCAGATCTGTCAGATAAGGGAGAATTGCAAAGTCAAGGCTGCATAATTTATTCAGTTTGATTTTTCTCCATAAAAAAGATTTGACAAATGACTGGTCTAGAAAATGCAGAAATGATTTTGGGTATATAAATCTGTGGAGGAAGATGATATCCATAGTTCCCTTCGGGAAGTATTGGGACAGCAAAGTCAGTTTGTCACTGAATCCAAATTTCTGATCAGTAAATTGTGCTTTTCACACAGTTCCTGAAGCAAGGAATCACTCAATTTCAATTCCATTATGGCCCAACTACTGAAAGTCACTAGTAACAAACAAGAAACCTACTGGAAGTAATCTAGTGAGCCCAACCTGATAATTAACGGTTCGATGACCCCAAAATGTCCGCACCTGAACTGACCCAGGGTTGTGTACCCAGCTTTCAGAGACACCAACCGCGCTCAGAAACAGCAAGCGAACTGCTTACTCAATCGCCCGTCACACACACACACTGCATGCAGAGAAGAAAGGTTAAAACACTGCTATCACGCTCTGCGTTAAAAACTCCGTTACAAACTCCTTTCCAATAGCTCTCCACCTCATAAAATCAGGCACGCCCACGGGGCCGGGAAAGGAAGATTTATCACGTACGTTTGGAATGCAGATGAACCCATTTTACCTGCAATGGCCGTGGCGCTATCAGCACACAGCACGCTCCGACTCCCCGACAGGCTGCTCTTCAGTTTAATGAGAACGATAGTCAGATTAATAAGAGGTGGTCAAAACTGGGGTTCACATTACCGGGGAGATCGCAATGTGGGCAGAAGGAATGCTGAACACATTCACCATTCTTTAATTCTGCAGAATCTTTGAGAGGATACTTTTTTAAAAAAAAACGACAACCTGAGAGGTGTGAATGTGTTTATAATATACACCATGAATTAATGACATGAACGTGACATTGATCGCATCCTTCCTCGTATCATTAACACAATACAGACAAGGATCCCGCACTTTTTGTGGGGATGAAGGCCAGTATCGTGACAGACGTGATGAAGCACAGCGCTGGGGAATCTGTTAATGCTTGTTGTTAGTGCCGCGGTGCTTTAATTCGAACTGATTTCCATTGTCACCATGGTCTTCCGACAGACAACCATCTTGGAAATGGAATATTCTTCGGTGCCTATATCGCATTTAAAAGCCATCAACAAATTAAATCACACGCTGTGAACTTTTTATTGTCTGAACACACAGCGCTAAACACGCTCTATAAATTGGATGATCAGAAGCCTCGAGGTTTGCTTAAACACCAAGGCTTCACGGAAGGGTTCAGCTCCGGCTGTGAGCACGGATATGTTTGTTTACAATGTATTGACCGCTTTTTTTTTCCTATGAGAGAGAGGTCGGGTTTTGCCAAGGCAGTATCCGCTCATATGACCCCAGACTGCACACTCCGTTCGCCCGCGTTTGGGATTTCACCTCTTGAAGCACGCCAGGACAAGCACAGGTCCCATCAAAGGGTGCTAGCCCCCTGTTCTGTAAAAGTACCCGAACCATTGTAAGACATGTCCCTTCTCGCACCAGTCGAAGCCTGAAGTGCTAAAAGGGACGGCACTGCGTCGCCTTACACAAAGTTGGGCTGCATGATCTCAATTACTGTATGTTACACCAGACCGCTGTCTTCAAAGCGATCAGTTCTACAGTAGTTTCAAACAACCACAAAATACTTCCCCATTTGCCCAGCCCCCTCGACAGGCTCACACGCACTTTTAACTCTGGTTTCCGAAACCGCCTTGAGGTTTCTACACCACACCAAATTGCCCCTCGAAAACAGAAACTCTCGACGTTTATACTGTATCTGCGTGTGCGACGGGAGTCTATTCTGGGCGAAGACTGTTCACATTCACTTCTGTCCTAATTGCCACGGACTCCAGACCTAAAGCAAACAATACTAAGCCGACATTTGTTCATTCATTAGTTTAATTTCACTCAATAATACACAGACAGCTTTGATATAAATAACGAATCTAGTGTATTATATAAATCCCTTAAAAAGGTATGGATATACTGTACATGTCTGTTCTTCCTGTAGGATAAACAGCTGGTAAATTACAGGTACTGTATATAGTTAATGTTTGTCTTTCATTTTTGTTGTTAGTGGTTAAATTGGTTTCGAAAATTCGGCAGTAAGGAAGATCATTTCAAATTTATGTTCTGTGGTAAATCTTAACATCTCCAGCAACTGCAAAAGGACATTACTAAACACTTCCATTGCGCTTTTCGGCACTTCGAACAGATCCTGACGAAACTGCGTTTCATTGAAAGAACGAGTGTGTGCAGAACCAATTCGAAGGGGAATCGGGGAAGACACCAGTGGTTTATTCGTTCATTTGTTTTACATTCGGCACTTGTCAATAACACCGCGGGGTAGGTCAAGAGACTGTTTTGGCATTGCGAACAGCTGCAGGCTACTGGGGTGATTTGTAAAAAAAAAACAGCGTGGGATATCTGTCACGGTTCAACATGCATTTGATGAAGGAAAACATCATACTATGGCATCAAACACAGAATAAAAATGCCTTGCTTGTACTTAAAAATAAAAGAGTTGCATTTGCCGTTTCGTTATTACGATGATTAGAAGCACCATTATTAGGATTTACTGTACAGCACGAAAATGTATACGACAACACTTTAGCTATAAATTAGCTGTTCACAGAGAATTTCGGAATACTACTGAGCGACGAATTCTGCCCCGGTATCGGCGCTCGGACACACTCCCCCTTACCTTTGTAAGCGGACATCTATCCGTTGTATCTCAGAGAGGTTTCAGAGTACCCGCTTGTTTCACTCCAGTACTGCTCTCCAATATGCTCTCTTATCTCCAGACGATAACACGCAAACCATTTCCACAGCGCGCATCCTTTCCACAAGAGCCTCAGACACCCAGCAGGGTAACCAGTGCGGCTGACGCCGCAAAACAGGAGTAGTTGTACAGTTTGCTCCCCAAATCCGGTTTAAAATCCTCTCGCTGGAGACTCCATGTGCGTATATTCCAACAGAAATCTCAGGTGTAATCACAGGACCCCGGCAAACCTCCGGGATGCTTCTTACAGCGCTGTTCCGACGCGTTACCTTCTCTGGACGCTCTCTGTCGGGTGAGTTTTTTTTGGCTCTCAAAAGAACGCCACCGACATGTTTAACATCTGCCGACTGTAGAGAAAGCGACTCGGGCCCGAGAGTCCAAGAAGTAGTGTCAGCATGGTCGAAGCGCTAATCTTCAAGTTCATTATACCAGCCAGGCGAGCTAGCGTGCCTCGCGCCGGAGACCCGAGTCCGGGAGCAGGAATCCAGCGCAACTATTGGAAGCTGCGCGCGAGACAGCAGACAACTGCAGTGAGCTCGCGAAGATCTCTAGATGGCACAACCAGCACGGCTGGAGCAGGGAAGACGACGGGAGAGAAAAAAAAGTAGAAAAAAGACCGCAAGTCTTCAAGCACACGCACACACAAAATGAATACAGAAACGGCGCGTTCCCCCGATACTCCTCTTTAGCATTCTATTCGGAATTCCCCCCACATCCTGCACATGTAACCTACAGAGTTAACTTGTTTATCATATTAACTCCTGTTGACATTGGCCACACTTCTAACTGTATTCACATCAATGCAAATCCGAACGTCTGTAACTGTCTCCGACAGAAGGGGACTGGCTACACGTAGTCAGAGATCTGTGCTTAAGAAGCGGATTAGCGCGTGTAATTATGAGTCAAAGCAATTTCCTCCTAAGCTATCGCACACAATAATAGAAGGCTAAGCCGTGCCGAAGAAGAAGCCAAGCAAGTTAAATCCGCTGTCTTCTTTCTGTGAGCGATGGGAATCAGAAGCAGACACTTGGGCAGCTCTAATACTTTCGGAGTTGCGAAAGAAGAAGCGAAAGAAATACAGGCAGCGTCGAATCGGAGCGAACGAGGTGGGGGAGAAAGAGCGAGCAGCGCCGGTGGGGCAAACACGACCGAAGCCCAAACACCTTCGCGGACCGCGTCCCCGTCAGTTATAGTCAGTGGGGGTACCGCTACAGCGGTCTGTTTCATTACGACAAAGCGCTCTGCGGCTCTTCTGAACAAACTCACTTCGGCAGGACAGCCCAGTTTTACGTCAGTGCAAAACGGCCGCAAACACAAATTTAATTATGCTTAGATACTTGTTCTTTTCAGAAGGCCGCTGCGCGTGGTGACGTTTGGTTTAAGGTGCGAGACGCCGAGTACCTCAAGCGGGAGGTTGGCGTCTTCCCGTCTCCCTTCGGTACAAGGGCAGAGCCGGAGAAAGCGCCGGCCGCCGCAGTCAGGAAGGCGCCGCCAGCTGGTGCCACACCTGTGCCTCATATGCCTCTAGACCCGAGCGGCAGCGGAAGGAGCGGCCCCCGATTTTCCCCAGCCAGCGGGCGACACGGGTGTCCACGGCGTGGCCCTTTTACCTAACATCGCGTTGCCGTGTACGCGATAGTGGTGGAAAGTCATGTCGCTTTATCAGCAACAAAAACCCGCCGAGCCCCTCTGCTTTTTATTTCATAGCCCCTAACAAGAGAATCTTTATACTGATTTTTTTTTTTTCAGTTTAACTTCTCCAGCAGAGGATCTCGGCGTTTAGGCCAAGATTAAGAGCCGCGCTTCCAATCTGCTTTACTTATTTACTTTGCAGTCACCTTGAGGTCTCTCTCTCGCCAGGTAATTTGTCTCACCTTGTGCTTTGGCAATTACACAGGTGTTGCCACTTAAGTCTCTAATTATAATTGCTTAAATTCACACTGCGGACGTCTCCACGACCACTTCTTTCTCTGGGACCACACTGTGCCCCCTTAGAAATAGATTTAAGTCTGCGGTATTGCAACGTGAAACACATTTGAATTTCATTGCAATTCATACATCATGGTGAAGCTACTTCGTTTTGGCGTTTATTAAATGCAACCTACCAATATCTCTAATAGGATAATATATCTTATAGAAAAGCATTTTGGACAACGAACCTGTACTCTTCCTTGACAACAGGCATGAGATAACTGTACACACTTGGAGCCCGCTTCTGCTTTTCCTCCGTCACGTTTTCCTGATTTGTAACTTGGAAGTCGCTCTAATTTGTAACAGAAACTTTCAGGACCTTGGAGAACGCCGCCGTGACAGCATTTGTGCCGGGCTCCTGCCGAAAGGAATTTCCAATTAATCGTGATGGGCTTTTTTTTTGCGCTGTGGATGAATTTAGCACTTTCGCATATCGAACTCTACTTTTCTTTGAGCTTTGGCATCTGCTCAGCACCTGTCACAACCCCTTGCCCATTACCTGGCTTTGAATGTTGCGAGTCCGCTGGGAAGACACCTTGCGAAAGGTCCTTTACGCTGCTCTGAGGCGACAAATCGCAAAGCACAGCTGTCACAAAGCATTGTGGGGTGGCGCTATCTTGTTCAGTGCCTCTCTGAGTGCATCTTGGGGCATGACCCTTTCTTATGATATCCATCAGTTGCCTGCTCAAATTTGATACCACATCCCTGCCACCACACAAGACATTAGTAACTTTCTCTCTCATCCCTTCTTGCATCATTTCCTTGCTTCTGCACACTGTATCGATTTTCCTTGCCCTTGCGAGTCAATCCACATGTAACAATGGTCTTACCCTTCCCCCCTGAGCAGACCGCTTTTATTTCAGCAGTCATTTGGTAGAATTATGGAAGCGGCCACCCCTACTGGTAAGGCATGGTGTGGTTTTGTTCTGATTTTTGACATGTGTATGAATATATCTATTTAAGTTTGAACTAAAGAGGGCATAGCAAAGGTGAGCTCCATCAAGACTGCCAAGAGCCTCAGGTTCACACACTGGACTCCCTCCTGCAGATTCTCCCTGTGACAACCAGCTCTCAGCTCAGCTCCTTGCCCTGTCTCGAACCACCTCCAGGCTGCAGCTGCTCGCAGGACTCCCCACGGGTGCCATCAGACCGCTTCTGCACAGAGAGAGTGCTGCAGCCCAGGTAGTCTTCAGCCTCCCAAAAGACTCAGATCCGCCAGTCCTCACCTCTCTTCATTGGCTTCTGGCTGTAGTTCACATTAGATTCACAACCCTGGTGTCGACCTGCAGGGCTTCGAGGAGGACTGCGTCAGGACACCCCGCAATCCTGATGGGGCACTAAGAACAGCAATGCTATTGTCGACAGGTCAGAGATCCCAGGTCCCACTGTTCTCTGGGCTGCCCCCAGTGGTAGAACAACCTACCTGCCTCAGTCAGAACTGAGGCCTCAGTCACCATCTTCCAGAAGAAACTGACAGCTTATCTCTTCAGGATTTCATGACACCAGAGGCCTGGGACCGCTCCTCACTTACTGACTGTGCTCTGATGTCACTGCTTCCTGTCTGTCAGGCCACACTGAAACTCCTCAGCGCTGGGCAACATCCCAGCTCTTCATTAACTCTGCACTAGTGTTCTTTCTGGCTTTGTTGTCATTTAATGATACTGTTATCTGCACCCTATGCACCTTGAGCAACTTTGAAGGTTGTAAAAAGTGTCTGCCAAATGAATAAATGCAAATGTAAAAAAAAAAATAGTTTCGTTTTTTTTCTAAAGAAGTGCGAGTGCAAGCCCTATTTAAATTAATAGATCAGCACTCTTCTCCCTCTGCAGTGACTAATGCATATTACCCTCTCAAGAGCATGCAAATGTGTATCCAACCTAACTGGTGCATACTGAACCACTGGAGTAAAATGGCAGCTTTGCACCATCTCAGAGTGTGCTGTACTGTATGTCAATGGTGAATGAAACAATTTGTTATCCAAATCTAGGAGTTCAGGGATCTAAGGGATTTGAAGTTCTTTCTAAATACTAAGAGTGATGATGGCAAATGGAACTGTTATGGTAGTCTACAAAATATCTAGTAGACAAAAAAATAGAAGAATCACCCACATCAACCTGCTGTGTTATTCGTATAATAATACAGTGTAAGAAAAGGTAGCCTGACCTATAAGTGAGGATAAAGAACTTGCACCATGTGACAGCCATTGGAAAACTAATATGAGGCTTTTTTTATCATAGGTCCTGTAATTATTGTATTATCTGGCTGGTGGGATATACAGTAGGACACTTACAGATAAGCAAGCCAGGCTGTGCACACCAGACCCCCCCAGACCGCAGACAGACAGCTGCTGTCACCAGCTTCACATGACTGCAAGTGATGAGCTTTGTTTTCACCATTACATGCTCTATGGCTCCGAGAGCTAAGAAATTCCCGTTATTGATGTTGCAGGATGTTATTTTAAGAAAATAATGGCTTAATAGTGCCATTAATCCAGTCTTGGCTTGATTTATATTCTTTTAAGGGATCTGATGTGCTAATGCCTCTTAGTAAAGCTTTAGTTAGCATTAACCCTGAGAAAGAGTAGGCCTGCAATATGAATACTGATACTAATACTACTAGTTACTGTTTAGTATTAGTAGCATTTGCAGTAAATAGAAACTTTGATTCAAACAAAAAATATTTAATAAATAAGTTTAATACAGAAACCCTGCATAAATTATAATCTACAATAAAATACATTGTATAATGGTTCGGTACAGTATATTATGGTGGGAAATGACATGTACACTTCCTGTTCTGTCCAGGAGTCATGGATAAAGGGAGAGGCTTCTCTCTTTCAGCTTGAATCAAAAGTCTTTACGAATGAGAGCTATTTTTACTGAAATTATTAATCAAACAGTATTTAAGGATGATTAAATATATGAAGCTCAAATGATCCTTTCTCTGTGCTGTACAGTACATCCATACAATTCTTAGAGGCTTTTATCATAGGTATGTGAAAGCACCATTAGTGCAGTAATTTGGTCTTTAAAAGCTTTTTTATGTTTGAAAGAAAAATGGCACTGCAGTGCCCTGGCAGAGCAAAATGAGTATAAAGAATGAATAAGGAGTTTGCATTCTAGGATACACAAATATATCCATGTCACTGGTAAAAGTTGCTGTATCACACTAATGAACCTTCAGAAGGGGAAACAGCTGTATGATCATCAGCTGATACAGGAACACTCACAGACCTTCATGGTAACCAGAGCAGCTCCAGGACTGAAGGAGTCAGAGGGAATGGATAGACTAAATGGGCCAAATGGCCTCCTCTTGTTTGTAACTGTTCTTATGTTCTGATGTCACACAGCTGGGGGGTACAGTAGGTGTTTTAGATACGCAGAAGTGCTCGTACTTTAATGTGACCCAACACCAAGTTTCAAATGATCTGTTTGAGATTAAGTCTCAAACACACACATACCTTCACACACACCCAGACTTGAGAAAATGGGGATTAGAACTGGAGAAAGTGCTTCATGCTGTGCTTTTGTAAGACGTGGTGAAAATGACAAGCTTCAACGTTGTTCTCGATGTGCAAAATTGCTTTCATTTTCACTGTCACTAGGTTCTGTCACTCTCACCTTTTTTTTCCCCCACTTGTTACTCTTTGTAAAGTGTTTGGAGGTCTGTTCGTCCTTTCAGCTCAATTGTTGTTTTACATTCTAATGAATTTAACGACCGATCAAGAAGCTTCTGATTAAAGCGTATTGACACTATCTATTCAATCGAAGCAAATCAGTGTATCCTCCCACCCTGTCCCTCCTGTTAAAACAGTCACATACTGCTCTGGCCCATTCTCCCCATCCAGCTTGGAGAGGCACTTTGGAAGTCAACAACACTGTAGGAGTTGCTATGTATTACAGCCTAACCAGAAGCAGCAGCTAAATCAAAATTGCTCAGAAAAAAAAGGAATTAACTGAACAAAAGAGATAAGGATGTTAAAGCGCACATTATAAGCCAGCAGCTGTATCACCCTGCAACTCACAACTGACAACCCACTGAAGCTAAGATGGTCAATACCTGAATGGGAGACCTCCTGGGAAAACCTGCGGTCTACATGAATCCTAATGCCCCAGTATAGTGATGGGAACAATATACTGTAAAAAGGCACCGTCCTTCAGATGAGACCTTAAACTGAAGTCCTGACTCTCTGTGATCATTAAAAATCCAGGGGCATGTCTTGAAAAGAGTAGGGGTGTTACCCCGGCGTCCTGATGAAATGTCCCATTGGTCTTTACCAATCATGGCCTCCTAATAATCCCCATATCTGAACTGGCTTCATCACTTTGTTTGCCCCACTGATAGGTGGTGTGTGGGGAGTGTACTGGTGCACTATGACTGCGGTCATATCATCCAGGTGGTGCTGCACATTGGTGGTGGTGGCAGGGAGTCCCCATTACCTGTAAATTGCTTTGAGAGGAGTGTCCAGAAAAGCGCTATATAAGTATATGGAATTATTGTTATAACATTCTTATCGGGGACATGACATGA